AAATGTCACAGTTATTGAAACTTATGCAATTGAATGTGTATTTTGAAAAACTTGTTCATAGGTTTCAACCAGTGAATGACAGACAGAATAAAAAGGCGACTGAATGAAGAAGACGTCCATCATAAAACTTGATAGACCAGAAGAGAAAAAAGTTAGTCACCGTCTGAGTGACTGAAACGGAATAAGAATGAATGAAGAGAAGTGTTACGTACCATCACATCCGAAAGGGGCGGAGCCTGTTCTGAGTCCAGGTGGGTTCGTATATTCTGTGAGGTTCAGACGGTTTTGATTGACAAATTTAATAGTTAGTGATCCCCTAACACAGTAAGTAAAGACTATAAAGTAGACTTATGGGAATGAGTCAATGTTATAGGTTTTGAGAGCTCCCGGGAAACTTGGTTTTTGGAAGAATTATATTCTGGAAAAGTCGAAAATGTATAGTTGTACTGTATGTCTGAAAATAATGATTCAACAGGGAATGTTACGGAAAACTTTAATTTTTTCAATATCATGCAAACTATAAAAATTAGGAAACGTACAGAAAATGTGAACACAAATTTTTCAATATCAATTCGATTTTATAGATTCGAAAGCTCTAGATTCTTTCAATTCTCCTTGAAACATTCTTGCAAGAAATAATATATGAGATTCATGCTTATCTGTAAAAGACTTCAAATGCACAATCCTCTTCAGTAATGTGAAGTATTGAAGATTAAAATTTTGGGGCATCGGAAGATTTTTGGAAAATCCAGAAGAACTTTTGATTAATTATTGTGTGGTCCAGATACGATATATTTTTTGCAGGGTTTCTGGAAATTTTGACAATTTTTATGGTAGTGACTGATTGATGACAATTCCAACGGGATCAAAGTTCACTGTCTGGAGAGATTCAGTCTTCAGAAATCCATACAAAGATAAAAAAACCACGCCTTGAGTTTTTTATACCACGAGCACCGAGAAGGCTTGAGAACAGAAAATTCGAATTTTTCAACAAAACAAACACCAGTTTTTTTCTGGAACATACTGGATCAGCTTCTGAAACTGTATTGAACACAAATGAGAGGTCGTTTGAAAATCTGATTACCGTAAACAAAATGGAAGTCAAATATTAGGTTGTTCGGAAAGTCCTTTCCATTTTTGATCTGTTGTTTTCAAACTTTGTCTTTTCGAACGGGGTAAAAGCGAGGAAGCTGTCGTTTTATGAGTATGTTGGTGGGGTCTGATAGTGTCTACACCCCAACGGAGATCATTCTCCTTTTTTCGTGTAGTAAGATATGCCCACCGTTTTCGCCTCTAGTAATTTCCATTTTTGAACTACAATTTTATTTGTATTTCTATCTGATCTCAAGTTAGCTGAAATCGATCGCCAATTAATGGTGGTTAACAAAGAAGATGTATCCTCTCGAACTACCATTACAACCTGGATTCATCAATTTGAAAAACGAGTATTCTCGTTGGACGAAAATCCCCCTTCAAAAAGGCAAACGGGGTTAGGTTTGGATGCATTAAAAGCCGGGATCGAGAGGGACCCGTCTCAAACTTGTGGGATATATAAGGTACATCAGTGGCAAACCTTTCGTCAAAAAGCCATAAATTGGAAACGCTCGGCAAAGTCAAAAAAGTGGGAAGACATGAACCACACCTTTTGGCTCAATGCAACTTCGATTCACCTGTGGACACCTGTTTGAATCTTCGCATCCTGCATTGCACACATGAATGTTAGATTCAAATCATTACTAGTGGTTATAAAGGGGTAATGTATGATTACAATAAGCCACATGCCAAATGGGTTGACAACGGCACTCAATCACCAGACGTCCCGAAAGGTGAAATTCATGTAAAAAATGGGGTGTTGCCGGTTTCGTGATCTACCAAGGAGTGGAGTATTGGGAGTTGCCAGATGATTGTGTCACTTCACGACTGATACCTATTCATCTCAGGTGACATAACTCAGACTCCATGTGGATCTCCATTGAAGAGAAACACAATGGTTTATTTTCAAAATTACAATCCGCGACCTCATGCGGGAAGGAAGACCCATGGCGATCTCGGTGGATATGGCTAGACGATTCTGTCTTATTCACTGCATAGCTCGAACCTTGGAATTTCTGATTATTACCCATCCAGCCATTTCTAACGTCATCTTGATTGAATAAAATTCATTTCAAAACGTGATATCAAAAATGGTTTGACTTGATTTGCAACTTGCTGTGACCGGAGTTCTGGAAGGAAGGAATCCACAATTTAATGGAACGTTGGCAGACAGTCATTGATAACAATGGTTATTACCTCCAATTCATCCGACATCGTTTTGACTTTTTTTACATTGACCGTATCTAACGCCAAAAATGGAAAGGACTTTCCGAACAACCTAATAGAATAGTGTAGACATGAGTCGGGTCTTTTTCAGACGTTCTATCAATTGTTCAGACCGCAGAATATAGAAATACCGAGTCAAAAATCTTCCAAATCAAAAAATCAAACTCTAAAATTTTTTTATATTTTTCCGACTTAGATTTGTTTGTCCATAGATTGCAATTTTCAATCAAGTGTGGTTCACATGCTAGCAATTTCTATATCAAGTAACTCCCCCTGAACAACGACCATTTCAATCAATTGATAGTCTCACAATCGGTTGACGTTGATAACACCATTTTTTGCTAGAGAACAAAACACAATTTTAATTTTGTATTAAATTTTATTATGTTTTTTTAAACTCCAAAAAATGACAAGAAACAAAAACAAAAACAAGAGCAAACATTATTAATTACCATCTTTGACCCAATGTTGGAAATTCGGAATCATCCAGAAGGGCTGAACTGCATGCAGGACACGTTCTCTTTGTCTTGAACCATTCTTGAGCACACTCGGTATGATATCTCCGTTTACAGCACTCGCATTTGATAGTTCCTTCCTCCGATTCCATTTCCTCGATGCAGATCAAGCAATCAGTGTCAGCAAGTTCTCCTGGTTTCACTGCTGGAGCCTTCAGCAGCGACTGACAGATTTTTGGAGCTTCTGACTTGAAGATGTCTTTGTATGTCTTCAGGAATCCTTTGGAGAGGGCTGGGAACTCTGGCAGTTCTGGAATCTCTTCTGAGTTGACTAGTCGGCTTCCACGGATCATCTCCAACTGGGTGTTGACTGCTTGAATGTAGATTTTAGCCTTCTCGCAAAATTTAATTGCTTCAATTCTAGTGGTATCCTCGATTTCCTTGTTATGAGCCTTCATACAGATTCGTTGAGCAAGTTCTCTGCATTTTCCAACTGGGTTCCCGCTTCGAAGAGTTCCTTGGATCTCGAGAAGTTTAAAGAGCACATCTCTGACTTTCTCCGTCTCCTCGTCACTTCTAATTGGTTCCATGATTCTCACTTTCGATGCTTGTTGAGCTTCCAGGTACCTTATTCTATTATCCTTCTCTGCGAGAGATTTTCCACGATTTTTAATAATGATTGAATTCTCTTGATTGATGTTGTAATTAGATTCCACTTCCATCTCAAGGTTCATGATCGTGTCTTGCTTTACAAGAAGATCCATATTTTGTCTTTCGATGATATCGTTTTTAGATTTCAAGAGTTCTTCCAAATATCTGATTCTCTCATCTTTGTCCATTCCTTTCTGCTTCTGAACTTCGACTTCTAACTCAGCATTTGCCAACTCTTTCTTCAGATGCTTACACTCGACCTTGGATACTCTCAGCTTCTCATTAGCCACATCAGCAAAATGGCTTGCCCTAGAGCACTTCGGACAAGATTGGGATTCCTTGGAGGATTCTGGCATTTCGGATTCTGGAGAGGAAGAAGATTCCGATGTGCTTCGATGGGGTTCTTCAGATTTCTTTGTCTTTCTGGATCGCTTCTTCTTCGGAAGAACATCAGATGAGACGTCTTGGTCCTTTTCTTCAACGATGACGTCATCTTCTTTTGGTGGCTGTGGTACCGCGGAAACGGTAGTCATTTCCATCAGTTCCTTGATCTCTTCTTTGGTTGTTGAAGGCTTGTTCAGAAGCTTCTTCAGTGTCGGCCGTGTCGACGTCTCGCACAAAACACATCCCAAATACGGCGCCCACTTCATGCACATTTTTTGGCTATGCAGAAATTTGAAAAGGTTGGGAAGTTTCATCAAAAGAATCGTCAATTGACATTGAAAGACAGCGGAGTGCATATCTTCAAGTTTCAAAGCAGATGTCCGATCCTTGGTGACAATCTTGTATGCCCATTCAACCTCTCGCTTCATTTCCGGGAAACTGTTGTAAAGATTCAGGTAATCCAGTTCTTTATCCAAATCATCTTCTGTGAATCCTCCTTTTCTGACCTTCCGAATATGCTTGACAGGTGCTGACGACTTCAAATGATCTTCATAAGTCTTCTCCCACTTTGCTTTGATAACTTCCACGTCGTCCAAACTGATGAAAAAGTCTCCGCCATTGACAGGGAAGATGTGCTCCATAGATTTGAAGAATTGTTGGATGTGCTCAAATGTGTCTCGATCAATTCTCTGTAACACTTTCTTGGCCACAATCATATCGCTGATCAGATCGTAGAGAGCATCGGTGGCAGGGACGCAATAAGTTCCATCTGGTGCTGGGATTGGGATTGCAGTGGTGGATACTTTGGAGTTAAGTCGAATAAACTGAAAAATAAAACAATTAAAAAGTCAAATGTTTTAATAAATATACCTCAATGTTCCTCATGTCTCCAATCTTCACCTTTTGAGCGACTTCTCGGAAATTGAAAGTGGCCAAATTCGACATTTGAAGAACTTCCTCTTCGAACTCCGATACATCCATATTCTTGTTTTTCATTGATTGGAGCAGCTCATGAGCCATAACAAAAGAATCCTTTCCAATTTTGAACAGTCTAACCGTTGCCTTCGAATCATCAGCAGACATAAAACTCTCCTCCAAGACCTTTTTGAATAGTTTTCCGACGGTCACAACCCACGAAAACATTTGGGTATAAAATTGTTTGTTCTTCGCTATTGGGTATTTCTCATCGAAAGATTTCAACATTTCATATGATC